GTCCCTTACAGTATTGTTGACTTGTATTATCGCCTTACAGTCTTGTTGACTTATATTATTAAATTCCAGTATTGTTTACATGTATTATCGCCATACAGTATTGTTGACGTGTATTGTATCGAGCTGCGGAGTACGCCCCACTTGTTTTGTGTATGCCTATCGTAGTTTCAGGGATGTGTAATAGGTTTATGTGGTTACTATTCCTTCCATTATATTTAAACAACGGCCATAAGTAGCATGGAGACTTTTGGGAAAATACTTTCTGAATAAATTTAACCTTACTGAAAAGTATACGTTCACGATACGGTAGAAGCAAAAGACCTTTATGTTTCGGAACTTACTGTCCCATGATTGTTATTGGCCCGAATGGCCCGCTTTTGCAGTGATGTGAGCCGCTTGATAACAGAACTTGAACAGCCATCCCAAATTGTAGAGAAATAGATATAAATGTCTGGATGTTCGAAATATAGAATCTCTTTCTAGCGTTTTCTTCAAGAAAGTTTTTAATTTTAAAATTTTTTAGTTGTTTGTTTCATAAGTGCTTGTACACGCGAGCTGAAGGTTAGATTTGCATCAATGATCAAAGCCAGTGCGTTATGCTCAGTTACACTTTCCACTTGAGTGCTCCCAATGTAGAGTTGAAGGGCTCTCTCTGAATTTAAACTGTACCGTTTTTGGTCGTTATTAGCATAGATTTAGTTTTAATCATGTTTACTTGCATACGGTTTGCACTGCTCCATTTGACTACTTTATTTAATTCTTGTTGTAATGACGACTCAAGTACATTACATGTTTGAGCATTTGTATAGATGGTACAGTCGACAGCAAATAAATCGCAGGGCGACGGCAGACATGACGAGAGATCATTTATGAAATACTGATTAACAGAGGGCCGAGAATCGAGCCCTGAGGTACCGCAGCATTTGAGCTAGTGGTCCGCGATAGTCATCATCATCATCATCATGAACCACTTCTGCCGTTAAGCGTCGTGGGGAGGAATAATTTGCGATCCAGTGCACGTTGGCTGCCACTGGCTATTCCGCGATAGTGATTTATTGTAATAGATTATTTGTTTTCTTCTTAACAAAAAGGATTTTATTCACTTTCATAGCCTAGGGTTAAATTTCATTGTTTCTTATAAGAATTATATAGTCTATCAGCTACCATGTCGAAGGCTTTTTTAAAGTCTATAAACACCCCGCCACATATTGTCTTGTCGTTAACATTCTGGTGCCAGTTTTCTATCATGTTAGTTAAGGTCGTGTGGCAAGAATAGTTTCATCGAAACCCAGATTAGTTATCTATTATAAGTTTGTTGGGATATACATTATGTATATGTTTCTTCAGTGGTTTTAATAGTGATAACAGGGAAATCCGTCTATACTTTCGCGGAATACTACTGTCTAAGGAACCAGATTTTAGATGTGGATAATTTTCTTTGAATTTCGTCTGTTAACTCATTCAATCCGAAAGAGCCACTGGCGTGTGACATCAAATACACTAGTCACTACAATATTATGCCTGTACATTTTATGTTTGGACACGGCATAGTCAAACACCCAACAACACACAGGTCTCATACAAGAGCTGTGTGTTTAGACCCTGTGGATGTAGCATACCCATGAGTTTGCTGCTTTCATTAGTTATTGCCTCATGTGGGCATCAGCTATCACCATCTGGGACTGAAAGAGTTGAGCTGAGATGCTGATATATCCTATAATTGTTAACACTGAAAAGCACTGGTCCATGTCCGATGCCATGGTGTTCTAGTCAGCTGAACCCAAGGTAGGTTTGCATCTTGCGGAGCAGGTTTGCTATGGATCCTTTATTTGAGACCTGGACCTACATAGTCCAGTGATGTTGACATAGAAACTATTGACACAGGCTCGGTAACAATACGATCAATTTGCGCTGGGCACGAGATATTAGAAATCAATTCTGAATGCGTCACTGGGAGGATGCTCTAGGACACACATGTCAAGACAGAGCGTCACCAGGACAGCCTTCCTTGAGTGCTTGTCAATGATGCTGGTGATGGTGGTGGTGGTGGAAGTCACGGGAGGATGATGATAAATATCTTCAACTCACAGACACATGTAAAACACATTTGTTATTTTCTTAAGACATCAGTTGAACTGGCTCGTGTGAATGACCTTTGATCTGCAGCTTGGGATGCCCTGCTAACAGCTACAGTACCATTGGCATAGCTCTCAGAAACGTAAACCTCGGCACCAGTTCAAAGAGGTGATACTTTAGGTTGCCATTTTCATCATCATCATCATCATCAGGTGCCTTGCCTCTCCATAATCTGCGATCTTCTGCAGCATGTATCAGTTCGTGTGCAGACACACCTCCGTGCCATGCAACAAGACTGTCAAGCATCTTCTCTCGTTTTCTTCCTCTATCCCTCCTTCTACAGATCTTTCCAGTGGTCACAACATATTCTCTTTTCCCTCTTCTCATAACATGGCCGAAAAATGATGACTGCCTCCTTCTGATGTCTGTGATAAGTTGTCTTCGGGCTCCCGCCTTTTTTATAGCTATTTCAATTTTGTGTTTACTCTGAACTGTTTACAGTTCGCCGCTATTGCATCTGCCTTTCTTTATGTGTGTTATTTGTTAGTTAACCCAAAGCAGTATAGCAAAGAAGGGGCGATTAGGACATAACGATGATGTAAGAGTTTGAAGATAAAATTGCCCGGGATTCAAACCTGTCACCTCTTGATGACAACTAGACTACTAGACTTGCTGAAGCAACAAGTGTACCCTCAAGCACAACCAACTGTAAACCGGTACTGCTTGGATGGCACTTGATTTCTGTAGATAAATTTCTTCGCTCCCCGTGCGGTTCCGGGGCCCTGTTATAGGGAAAACAAGAGTACACTCACTGCCTACCCAAAAGCATGTCGTAAGAGTCGACTAATTGGGAGCTTCCTTCAAAGTCTGAGTGCATCTGTGAGAATCAAGGAACCAGCAGTCTGCATACAAATGAGTCAGATATGTAAAACGGATGCTCATGCAACACTCAGGTTCTGGAACAGGACTGCAGTCCAGAAGTGGATGAGCAACCAAAACTTTCCGCCAGAGTTTACAGCTGGTTAACGCGAAGGAAAAAAAAGATGTTTTCGCACTCAACGTATACACTATAAAAAGTGGGTAAACTGGATCGCAGCAGCGCTTTTTGAAAGAACAGTGTCGATGAAGTGCGGTGCGTGGGCATCGAAACCTCAGCACGTCTTAATGAGCTTGCCCCAGGGATAACTAGTGTCTCCCTTTCTCTGTAATGTTTACACATCATTAGTCACCAGTACACAGATAGAAGGTCTGGGCAGAACAATGTTGTTCGCAGACGACATCCTGGTGTAACGGCGAGGAAACAACAGGGAGGCAATTACGACAACGCTACAAGATAAATTAGACCGACTCAGTGAGTGGTGCCAGGAATCAAGCGCACAGGTAAACCTGGCAAAAGCTTCCTTAAAATGGTTTTCCTTAAATACCCACATTGTCAGTACACCTACGCCAGTCGTGAGCATGTGCGGTATAGACATCGATAGAACGAACCTTGGCATAACTTTTTACCGATGCTTCTCATAAAAGAATCATGTAGACAATGTCATAGTTAGAACCAGGAAAGGTCTGACAGCGCTGAAGGCGATGGCATACGCCGACATTGAACAACTCATACTTTTCCTGCTCTATCAGGTACTTGTTTTAAGTATTATAGATTATGGTCTGGGCCTCCTCACTGTCAGCAGAACCCAGCTAGAAAGACTGGACCATGAAGCCATGAGACTCATACTCGGCTGCACAAAAGACACCTCGTGCTATGACATGCGGTATGTCCTGGGTTTACCGACTATGGAAGCCAGACATAAAGTGGCACAGGTAAAAGCGTACATTAGAATATCGTCAGACATCAACCACCCACTGCACAACGCTATCCACGATATAGAAGCTCTTCCTGGGTGGCCAAGGCAGAAAATATAATCCAGCGAGTGTGTGCCCTAGACGAGGTCAGTCACGGAAAAGAATGAACGGATACACCAGTAGACCTGCATGACTTGTCTAAGGTTGTCATAACACTGGGGAGGTACTGCAGGAGTCAGATACCTGTCACCGTAGACGCCGAGATTAGAGCACTGATTGATCAGCATTAACGCCCAGAAGACGTCCTCATTTACACAGATGGGTCAGTGAAGAGCGGGACAAGATCAGCATGGGCATACACAGCACAAAGGATGGGAAAAACAATCAAAGAGGATAGCGGCGCTTACCAGGCGACTACGTCAAGCATGACCATGGAGATAGCTGCTGCTACCAGAGCACTCAAATGGTAGCAGAACAAGTGGCTACACATGAGGTAATTGTTTTAGATTCTATGAACATGCTTCAGAAAATCGCTACAGGTTGTCTCCGCTTCAAGTTGTTAGAAAGCTTTTGGAAGTCGCAGTTAACATCCATCATCTGGATCTACACACAGGGCACGCATGAATAAATGGCATTGAAAGAGATGACCAGCTGGCAAGTAATGCACCAATGCAAATGGGAAAAAGCATGCACAGAGCTGGTATCATTAACGCCGTAGGGATAAATTTGGGAGATAATGGCGAAACTCTGACGCTAACACGACTTTGTGACCGAGAAGTTAAACTTGATTAAGCACGAACATGCCATCTTAGAGGTAAAGACATGAGATACTATAACTACCTCCTCATGGGAACAATAGGTAGAGGTATCTTGAAGTGGCTGCTGCATCGGAGGACTGAGCACGCATGGGGATGCACAATGTGCAAAAACGTCGATTGTGACAACATAACTATATAAAAAAGTGTTCCCAGACACCATATTTAGCAGTAAAATGCCGATTGCCTCTGGCCAGGCTGACAACTTCCTGTTCCTGTGAAAACACAACAACTCTAGAAAAAAAAAATGAATCTGTCAATATTTTTGTGAAATTAATCTCAATTTTGGGCTTATTTTGTTCGTATCTCCACACAATGGCGTACCACGCAGCAGATCCAGATGAAGCTTTTGATTACCTGTTTAAGATAGTTCTTATTGGTGACGCAGGCGTTGGGAAAACTTGCGTTGTTCAGCGTTTCAAGTCAGGAACATACACTGAAAAACACGGGAGCACGATAGGTGTTGATTTCACCATGAAGACGCTAAACATTGATGGCAAACTAGTCAAGGTATACGTGTTCCATGCCATTAGGTGTAGAATATGGACCATAATGAAGATGAGCTACTCACTGGCCCAATACTCAGTACATAAAAAATTTCCACTAAAGCAGAAAATACACCATATCCTATCATATAAAATCAAACAAAAATTCCAAGCTTAGTCCTTTTTTTTCAGAAAATACATTTTTAGCAAGCCAATAAATATGATGGGCTATCCTCCGACTAACGGTCAGCAAAGATGGCAGCTGCAAAATCTCCTTTCGAGCCACAGTCGTGTGTCAATTGCGCACTAGCGGTCACGAGCACACCGCGGCTGCTGCTCGTGGGTCCTAGCCATCTAGTTTAGCCCCATTCCACGCCACGTGGGGGACACGTGGTGGTGGCAATAGTCGCCGGAAAACCGCAGGAGAACCGCAAATCAAGTCACGCGACTGTGGCTTGAAAGGATATTTTGCGGCCGCCATCTTTGCCGACCGTTAGTCAGAGATTAGCGTCGTTGTTGTCCTCACACTTTTCGGCATGCGCAAAACGTGGTTAAACTCACCCCCAACAGTATCCCCTGCGCCGCTGTGCGTGACGTGGATGGGGATCTAAACTAGATGCCTGGGACTCACAAGCTAAATAAATTAGAGAAAGTTGCAGGAGATGCGGTAGCTGCTGCTCTTGAGTCCCAGCCATCTAGTTTAATCCCAGCCATCTAGTTTAGCCCCTCCCCCATCCCGGCGGCGGATACTGTTGGTGGTGCAGCAGTCGCAGAAACAGGTCCCCAATTAGAAGAAGTTTGGAGGAGAGCCATATTTAGTGTTCACTGTATTTAAATTTTCAGTGCATGATAGTAATACTTTTGCTAGTTTATATGTCACACTATACAAAATAAGCACAATCGGAGAATTTTCCACCTGGTATTTTATTTCTCTAAAACTGTTTTGTAGTACTATTTACTAGTAGTTGTTGAAATGAACAAATGTATCTATCTGTTCAATCTATTTTCGCATCGAATTAATTCGATATCATCATATGTGCGTGGCGTGGATGGGGATCTAAACTAGATGGCTGGGACTCAAGAGCAGCAGCTACCGCATCTCCTGCAACTTTCTCTAATTTATTTAGCCTGTGAGTCCCAGGCATCTAGTTTAGATCCCCATCCACGCCACGCACAGCGGCGCAGGAGATACTGTTGGGGGTGAGTTTAACCACGTTTTGCGCATGCCAAAAAGTGTGAGGACAACAACGACGCTAATCTGCGTCGGAGTGCGTGGTCTCCCCGCCAAGTGGCTATTATTGTCTGTAATGTTGCGTGTCTCAAAATTGTCAATGGTTGCTATTATCATCTGCTAGTATCGTCTGCAGAAACGCTTGAAATTGTCAAGTAATCCTAGTTTTGCCGCAGTTTGTTTCTTGGCAGAAAGTCCGCATTTTACACACGACTGAGGCCCTGTTAGGCCATTTGCTTGGCCACCATAATTTCGGGTAGAAGTTTGGAGGAGAGCCCTAAATACACACTGTTATTTAAATATCAGTATATCCAGGTTATAACCCTGACGACTGAACAGGATATGGGTAATATTTGTTAATGGGAAAATTATCACCTACTACTGTTATAATTAATTAGTCACTCCACGATTAAATGGAATTCAAATATAAGTGATCACCACAAAGTGAAAGTGTTGAAACTAATGTATCGGTACTCATCGCTAGCTATGTTACAGTAGTGCTGATAAGAAGGTGCCAGTACTGCATACCACCATTTAAAAAGGGAAGTGAATTGTTAACAGTGTCTTTCACACAACACTTTCAATGACAAACATCAGTGCCGACACCAAACAAAATTGGTTGCTGGATTTTAAAAAGGGATAAAATTGGAAATGGCAACATCAGACACTGAGAATCATTGAAACCAAAGAGTTAGGTAGGTTGATTAATATTTCTTGATTTGTACTCACAGATAGAAGTACAAATAGGTGTATACACTAGACAACACAAGAAGCTGTGCTTACCATACAAGGTCTTGAACCTACCACCTCCAAGTTTTTAATGCTTTAATAAAAACATTTAAAGGTATTTAAACCCTTCTATATTGCAACAAGTGTAAGTGCAGCTATCTTCATTTCTTATGTTTTAGAAATTACTGACTAATAACTTTTTTTTTTTGTGCAGTTACAAATCTGGGATACAGCAGGCCAAGAAAGATTTCGCACGATAACTCAGAGTTATTACCGAAGTGCAAATGGGGTCATTATTGCTTATGACATCAGCAAGAGGTCAACATTCGAAGCAGTCCCTCGCTGGCTGGATGATGTGAAACGATACGCAGGTCAAAATGTTGTACAGTTGCTTGTTGGTAAGAACATCTCTCTTTTTTGTGTGTATATATATATATAATATATACCGATTGAAAACATACTGTTAGCAGGCTCACATTAAATTGTTTAAAGTGAACTTGGCAAAACATAAAATTGAGGTAACCGATTCAAAAACTATAGTGCACCTTTTTTTTTTTTTTTTTAATTGAAGTGAATAAATTATGTACTGCTGTAATGCTTGTTGCTTAGTTCATAAAAGCTAAATGAACTGTGTCAATTATTGTATATTATTTTTTTTAAGTGGTGCATAAATTATTAGTCCAGCAAAGATAAAAGAAATTCAATGCTCTAAGAAAACGGTGCACCTATACAAGTGTGAAATCATAGAGGGATGGGAAATCTAAGGCCACATGCAAACATTTTCTTCTTCTTGTTCACCAGCTGTGAATTCCAGTGGAAAGTCCTGTTTGTTCATCCATTTATGCTGTGTACCAGGACCCGAGATGTTGGTGTACATCCGTTTTACTGTGTTCGGGCAGATTTACTCCAACTTCGAAGGAAGACGCCAATCCTGTCTCAAGGATGACTGTGACCATTGTTTCTTGGGGCATGATGTTGCCTCATTTGTTTGGTATCCTCTTGGTCTCTTTATCAACAGATGTCGCCCCCAGGAACCTCTCTAGGGCAACTGCGTTTGGGCAGCCCTCAAAGAGAGGAAGGGTAAAATCATTGGCATTCCACACCATCCAAGGAGGCTTCCATTACTGCAGAGCGGACACATGATGCTCTGGTTTTGGACTCACCCAAGAAATCTTTACGTCCTACACACGACTGCTTAACCTCACAACCATATGTTGAGCTGTCCACTTGTCATGGACTGCGCCCTCAGGAGATCAACAGGGAACAGCCCGCAGGTCCAGGACTCCGATGACCACACAAATAGGTACATTCTTCTTTATCAAGGTAGACCCCTTTAAAGCTGGTTCAACTGAGCGCTTAGCACTGCCAAATGGAGAGACATGCATTAGGCATGGCTTCACCTGTTTCGTTCCAACACTCTGGTAAGGAGACCGATGGATACCGGTATTTGAACCTTTCTGCAAATAATTAGAATTTATGGCGATCAGACATTGCATTTGTTCTGGTGTGCCATAGGATGTACCTTTGTCAAACATTTGAACCTACTCAGCAGTCTATTGTCGTGTACCGCAACGCAATGACGACGACGTTGAGGATTGACAAGATGTACGTAGACAGGATTTTACAGCGAGAAACCACCAACAGGAGATGTTACTCGTCTAAGCTGCGGGCAAATCTCTTTTTCAAGGGCTGAGTCTCAGCAGTTCAGTTTTTCTTTTAGTCGTCAGACTTTTAACTGAGAGTTGTCGTTTAGTGGTACATTCATCAAGCAGACATTACTGATGCTTCAAATGAGTTTGAATAGGCGTTTTTACCCATGCTTTTGGGGGTGGGCTGATGTGAGTCAGACTGGACACTACATCTCTGGGGGCTGCCAGCTCTGTTAATGCTCATTTGGGACATTATCCGTGGCGCACCGCGGGGACGTGTAGCAGAAGTCTTGCATGAGGTTTTGTAAAACCGGCACAGAGAAGGCTAGTGCCAGAGGTGATGGAGTATCTCCTTATACACATCCCATCGGACTTTCTCTCACGCCTGTCACCAGAATCACGCAAACATTTTGATCTGTATAGTTTTGGAGATATTGAGAGTAGTCCCCTGACTTGAAATGTTTAGAATAATTTCAAGCAGAATGCTTGATTGTTTAACTCTTTCAGGACCACATGTTTCTGGCGTTTGGACAGCATTAATTTTGAGCAGAATTTGTTTACTGCAACAGGACAAAGTTCAAGCCTTCCTGAAGAAAAAGTATTGGCTGTATCGGGACATATAATATATCATATTAAAGATAAATGAGGACACAACATTCAAGGATGTTAGACTCGTATGAAAATTATTGACATAAAAAATGTTGTGCTTACCTTACTTTTGTACTTGTTTAGCAACAGTACTATCCAGTTCTATGAATGCACATGCCTTCTCTGTTCAATTATGTATTAGTTAGTCTTTTATTTGAAACAATTAATTGAAAAACTTTGCATGTTATGATCATTTTTGTATGTCATGTCAAATTTCACAACCAAAAATCGGGACAACAGCTGATCGAAACATTGATCCGATTGAAATATTTCATTCAATTTTCATATCCTAAACTAAATTATTGCCAATAGGTTTGTCCTTAGATATCGGTCATAATATCAAGACTGTTGTCACCATCTGGCAGAGATTCATCAACGATAGAGCAGTATGAATAGTTCTAGACCTTTTACCTTATCATTTAGTATAGAAAAATCACATAAAAATTGTATCCTATCTAAATATATTTTTTTTAATCAGAAAATAATGCAGCGACCACGCTGAACTTTGCAAACGAAAGGACTTCCTGTTGTTAATCCTCATTGTTCAAAAACATGTTCATAAAAGTTTGTTTTCCCCATAAATGGGACAAGATTAAGAGTGTCAGTATCAAACGCCAATATACTGGCGATATGTCCATTAGGAATACATTTATTTGCCAGTATACTGGCTATACATCTTTAAAGAGTTGAAGAAAACAGTAATGGAAAGCATGGTTCCAGAGAGTTGAGATAGGAGCTAGCTAACAGCAAACAAAGAAATTAAAGATAGACACTCTTGCTGTGGAAGTGCGTCATGCCCAGGAACTGGTGAGGACTTTTTAGATGACATTAGGAGTTTTTCAAAACAAATGAGACATGCGGTTGTATTTGAGGCCAGACATCCTGAATGGAGTTGTGGGTTTCTCCCTGTGGGCTCCTGGGCCTAATTTTCTTTTTAGGAAAAAAAAATAGTAAACTGACTGCCCCTTAACAAGCATGTCATAAAAGGCAATTAATTAAAGAATTTGATAAATTGTATTTGTTCAGCCAGAAGGCACAGATATTGCAGTGTAGTTGTAAAGTACAACACAGTGTACCAGACTGCATTTTTAAGAGCGAATGAAGAAGTTTGGTAAATCCTGTTGGTTCTAGACCTTGATTGTCTGCATGAAGGATTTTAAATTGTGACCAACCTGGCATGTCCCTTTTGATCCTTGGTTCTATCACAGACGATAAAAAATGTAGAGAATGGAGAGATCTGTGCAGGACCAGTTGAACACTGCTACTGCTTCTGCTTTTTGTGACTGAGGGGAAACATGTATCAACATGCTAAAAGAATTATAGTATTGGATGACAAATGTTAACATGTACGACTATCTGGCATATATCAATGAATTGAAGTTTGGATGACAGATGTTGACATACGACTATCTGGCATATTCCTGTGGATTCAAGTTTCTTTTTTCTTGTTCAGTCTTTACCTGGCAAAACAATCACCCAGCAAGAAACTCCAGTTTTACTTTACACACCTAGTGATGCAAATGCTGATTATAAATTGATATACCTTTCTTGCCTTCACAAGGCAACAAATGTGACCTGGAGAGTCTGCAAGAGGTCAGCCTGGCTGAAGCCAAATCTCTGGCTCAGTCTCAGAACTTTATTGGTGCCATAGAGACAAGTGCAAAAGAAAACACCAACGTGGATGATGCATTCCTGAAGATGGCTAGAGTAAGTCTGTGAAAGTTGTCTGTTGCATGTACAGATTTTGATCTTATCATCTAGTCATTAGAGCAGCAGTGGGCAAACTGGCCTGTCGCCAAATATTTTACAGGCCTGCGAGGGTGGTGTAAAATTACCTTATAATCTGGCCTTTGAGCTCACAAAATAGCATATCAGCAGAACAAAAAAATATTGTTCATTTGGCAGACAGAAAGAAAATCCAAATATCAGCATCCAAAAGGGATAACCTAGTCAGTGATAACCAGAACCTGTTGTCATCAAATCTTTGATCCTACTAGTGAAACACTTGTTGCAGACAAACTCAGACATTCGGAGACAGCAGTGTCTGTCAGTGAACTTTGATAATAAAAAACAAGGCATTAGCCGTTCTTTCCCTGTGAACAGACACATTTAGGAATATATATGACTTCAAAGGGTGAGTGTATCTGGTCAGGCCTGTTGCAGGTGATTACAATCTTAGATTATCCAACAAAAATATCTGGGTGATATGTTTAAATTGGATATTTGTCTATATGGCCCATGTCCAGGTCATTCTAGATTTGGGACGTGGATCAAAGAAAAAAAAAGGTTGCCCACCCCTGCTTTAGGTGAGAAATGATACTCCCAGACTGTGGGAACACCTTGCAGCCACTAAATGGTTCAGTCATCTCGTTAGAATGCAGCCACAACAACTGCCAACACAGGCGCTACACCCAGAAAGATCTACCAAGTGGAAATCCATGGAGAAGATAGATTGATGACATTCTGCATCGGCACAGAATGACAATCTCCAGTGCTGCTCATCGTGCAATGTGTCTCCAACTGTTCTTCTTCCATGACTGTCAACGGCAATTGTGGAAATTAGTGATGATGATGATTTAGTCTTTTAAATGTATGCTGGGTGAATTTTGTGTGTGGTAAAGGCCTGATCAGACAGATATAAATCAGAGAGAAAATTATGTGAGAGTGAGAGAACTTGAATAGGAAAGAAGGTTTGAAATAGTCACCCACTCATTGCCTTTCTTTTCAGTGCCTGAAATAGCATAATCATCATCACAACCCTTTGCCATATAACTTTGATGTTTTATAAGAATACATAGGGTGTTTTTAAATTTTTTCAAACATATATTGTAGGAGCTAAAGAGGCGATTTGGTGATGATAGTGGCATGGATCCAGGACAGTCTGGGTCCCTCCAGCTCAACAGTCGGTCCAGATTCGGCAACTCCAAGTCATGGCTCCAGTGTTGCGGCAGCAGTTAATGCCAGTAAATTCAAATATGCGAACCTCTTCAATTTCTGCCGAAAAGTTTGTGACTGCTGGGGCTGTTTTCTTTGCTGTTTGCTGACATCTCTTGTTGCTTGAACTTCCACTTCCTGTTTGTGCTAGTGCATGGGTGCCACATCTCTGCTGCTGCTGGTATTTGTTTCGTTGTTGCTTACTGTTACTGTTTTTGATGTTGACACTGTAGCAGTATGATATTTTTGTCCTTGGTGAGGAGAACAGTGCTAGTAGTTGTGGGGCTTGAACTGATGTGCAATCATTCTTCTTGGGCTGATGAATACTTAAAACCTAGGCTGAGAAAAGACAGGAAGATACAGCTAGGTGAAACAGGCTACCAGTCAATGAAACAGAATAAACTAATAAGTTTACATAAACATGTGACATCATCAGATGTCATCTTCATATTGGTAACCAGTCTCAATCAGGCTCATCGTGGTCGTCTTACACACACTTCTTCTAGCCCATCTCATGTTTCTGTCTGCCCGTCTGTAATGTTATTCTTCTGTTACATGTTTCTTTAAGCTCGTTTCTTCAAACTTACATTGACAGCAAAACCTTGTTAACCCCATATCCAGTGGCTGAAAAACCAATGGTTTATATTTAAAAAAATATGTGCTATCTGGGGACTCATAATAATACATGCCTGCTGTGCCCGAAATTTTGTTCATATTAAGCAAGTGTTTTTCTGAAGGGATTTCATGTAATGAAGTTATACTGGATAAATAAATAAATGAACATTGATCAGCACATTGTTTGTAGTTAACATTCTCTTCCACGCTTTAAAAGTGCATTTTTGTTTCTTCCCTTGACTCCCACACAGTGTATTTTATGTTTTCTTGCTTTTTACATGTGGTCATAGCGTGCTAAATAAATATAGCTTCCCAGTGACCAATTCCAAATCAATCCTTATCGCACCCAGAGGCACATAAGGCAGAGAGAAACTGTCACCACTGAATTCGATCTTGAGCCATTCTCTCTATCTCCAGTTTTGTCCTTCACGTAGCCTTGAGTTCAACCTCAAAAGTTCACCCCCAAGTGCCTCTGGGCCTGCCTCTTCCTCGCTGTTCTTGTGTTGTCCATTGCATTGCCTGTCTCGGCCCTCTGTCTCTCTATCTTCATTCTGAGGATGCATACAGACCACCTCCATTTTCGGTTTTTAATTTCTAAATTTACATCTTCTAACTGTCATTTGTTGTAATCTAGAAATGCTTATGTTATTTTCCCATGTGAACTCCAATAATCTTTAGGGAAATCTTCCCTCAAAACCTCTAAGCATGATCTTTATCTTTCTCTCTGTTTTGCAAGTTTCTGCTCCATAGAGGAGAACTGTCCTAATGCATGTTTTGTATATCCTGGGTTTAGTTTTGGTGCTGTAGATGGTTGATCTACAGACACTTTGAAGTCTGTTGTAAGAAGCATTTGCCTTTTCAATTCTCTGCTTAATTTCAACCATTACATTTCCATCCGAAGAGATATTGCTTCCCAAGTAAGGGAAGTCGGTTACTGTTTCCAAACCTACATGATCTATTACGATAGGTCTTTCACTTTTGGGGTTTATCTCCAGCAGTTTTGTTTCATTGACATTGACTCTTAACCCTGTATTTTTTGGGGTGTGTTTTGGCCGTTTCTGTGATCTTATCTGTCTATTGTTGCAGATTTTCTTTACTGGGGCTGATGACACATATATCATGTGCACAGTCCAAAAGTTCCTTGTGTTCTAGAAAGTTCCATTTAAGGCCCGTTCGTGTGCCTATGGTTGTTTTCTTCGTAACATAATCTATCACTATGAAAAACAAGAAATGTGACAGAATGCACCCTTGTCAGACTCCTGATGTTACCCTGATGTATTCTGTTTCCATGAGTCCTACTTTCACTTTGCACTGGTATCCTTCATAGAGTCCTTTTAAATATGTTTATGACTTTATCTGGTAACCCCTACGCAGCAAGGATCCTCCACATTATCTAGACTGTCAAAAACCTTTTCAAAGACTATAAAGTTTCTATAAAATGTGGCATTCCTTTCAAAAGCCTCTTCAACAATATTTCTGAGAGTGAAAATATGATCACAACAGTTTCTTCTTTTTCTGAATCCTGCCTAATCTTCCAACAAAACTCTCTACTGACGTCTTCATTCTGTTGTATATCCCCCTACAGAGTGCCTTTCCGGGTACAGACAATAATGTTATGCCTCTCCAGTTGTTGCAGTGGAGAGATCACCCTTCTTTGGTAGTGGGATGATACACTATTTTCCTAGGCTGTTGGCACCACTTCATTTATCTATATTTTGTTGAATATTCCATGTAATGCTTTTGTTGTAAACTGTGGGTCTGCCTTTAACATGTCAGCACTCATTCGGTCTTCACCAGGTTCCTTCCCATTCTTCATACTGCTTATTGCCATTTCTATTTCTTTAACCCTGACTGGTCCAGTATCCATTTCTAGGAGTTGGCCACAGTTTTCCACTAGCATATCTGATGCTTGCGTATTTAGCAACTCTGTAAAATATTCTTGCCATCTATCAACCTTTCCTCTTTCATTGTGATTATTTCTCCTGTTGTGTCTCTCAGGTTTCCTTCATTAAACCTAAAATGTTTCTGACTCAGATCATTTGTTATTTTATACAATGTTCTAGCATCACCTGTCATTGCTGCTTCTTCTGCTTTGGCAGCTTTGAGTTCAAAGTATTCCATTTTGTCTTTCTTTTTGCTTTTCTTTACTTCTTTATGTTTGGTGTTATATGTTTTCTCTGTGTGACCATATTTTCCAATGTGCTTTTTGTAAGGTTTATTTGCTCTTTTTGCATTTTTCTTTCTTCTGTCTTTGACCAAGATTCTTTAGATATCCATTCCTTTCTCATATGTTTCTTCATACCGAGTATTTTCTGGGCTGCATTGCCATGTGCATCTTTAGACTGTCCAGTCTTCTTCAGAACTTGCTGTCTATGGGAGGTGGTTAAAAACCTCGAACTGGTTTCTTAGTTTGACACAGAAATCTTCTCTGACTTTTAATGTCCTGAGCTAGGCTGAATACAATAATGGGCTTACTGTTATTTTCTTGCTTCTTCTTATTTTAAGCTTCAATCTACAAGTCACTATGTTGTGGTCACTCCCAACGTCAGGTTTCCTTCTAGTAAATGCATTTTGTATCAAGCTCCTTCTCTTCTAATTGTACAGTACGTGGTCAGTTTAGACCACTTCCAGTGTGTATTTAACCTTTTCAGGTGTAACCCCTTCTTGATTTTTAACATTTTTTTTTTTTTTTTATCCTCTGAGGAGCTTTTATTGAGTGTAAAAGTGATTGCCCTTTGGAAACTTTCACTGATTGTAAAAGTTAATGATTTCCCCTTTGAAAACATTTATATCATATTCATACTTACACAGTCTTAGTCAAAAGTTTAAGACCACCTTACTAGTAAATAATTGCATTTTTTATACACTGTCACTGTTATCATTTTAGGGCCCACCAAAGGCAGCCATGCAGCTAGCTGTCATTCTTTCCTAAAATAGCAGTCAAGGCAGGGCTCCATAGTAGTATGGAAAGATCAGTTATTTGCTTTACTACGCAGTCTGTAACTTGTGGTTACCTCTATGTACACAAGTGTTACAGTCTAAAACTGACACAAGTTTTATGGACACAGTATTTGATATTATTGCTTGTATGCTTATTGTTTGTTGCAGTTATACATTTGGTACTGGGGTATCTGGAGCAGTATTTTATCATAATGTTTTCTTTCACTGCAAATTTCACTGCTCTGTGTTTTGCATTTATTGGCTGTGTGTCTGTATATAATCTGTATGAGATGTTTATGTACACAGGTTAAACATGCTTGCCCATCCTGTGTGAGATCTCATCCTCTGTGTGATTACATCATGTGTCTGTGGTCTCACCATGTGTGTGATCTCATCCTCTGTGTGATTACATCATGTGTCTGTGGTCTCACCATGTGTGTGATCTCATCCTCTGTGTGATTACATCATGTGTGTGTGTGGTCTCACCATGTGTGTGATCTCATCCTCTGTGTGATTACATCATGTGTGTGTGGTCCCATCCTCTGTGTGATTACATCATGTGTGGTCTCACCATGTGTGAGATCTCATCCTCTGTGTGATTACATCATGTGTCTGTGGTCTCACCATGTGTGTGATCTCATCCTCTGTGTGATTACATCATGTGTGTGTGGTCTCACCATGTGTGTGATCTCATCCTCTGTGTGATTACATCATGTGTGTGTGGTCTCACCATGTGTGATATCTCATCCTCTGTGTGATTACATCATGTGTGTGTGGTCTCACCATGTGTGAGATCTCATCCTCTGTGTGATTACATCATGTGTGTGTGGTCTCACCATGTGTGAGATCTCATCCTCTGTGTGATTACATCATGTGTGTGTGGTCTCACCATGTGTGATATCTCATCCTCTGTGTGATTACATCATGTGTGTGTGGTCTCACCATGTGTGAGATCTCATCCTCTGTGTGATTACATCATGTGTGTGTGGTCTCACCATGTGTGTGATATCTCATCCTCTGTGTGATTACATCATGTGTGTGTGGTCTCACCATGTGTGAGATCTCATCCTCTGTGTGATTACATCATGTGTGTGTGGTCTCACCATGTGTGAGATCTCATCCTCTGTGTGATTACATCATGTGTGTGTGGTCTCACCATGTGTGAGATCTCATCCTCTGTGTGATTACATCATGTGTGTGTGGTCTCACCATGTGTGTGATCTCATCCTCTGTGTGATTACATCATGTGTGGTCTCACCATGTGTGTGATCTCATCCTCTGTGTGATTACATCATGTGTGTGTGATTACATCATGTGTGTGTGGTCTCACCATGTGTGTGATCTCATCCTCTGTGTGATTACATCATGTATGTGTGGTCTCACCATGTGTGTGATCTCATCCTCTGTGTGATTACATCATGTGTGTGTGGTCTCACCATGTGTGTGATCTCATCCTCTGTGTGATTACA